ATAGTATAGCCTTATTATAGTATTATAATATCATAGTATAGCCTTATTTTTTACTGTTATGTGGAGACCACCTTATCTATAGTTGTTTGTTGTTGTTAGGTGCTGTCGAGTTGGTCCTGACTCATAGCGACCCTATGTACAACTCTATCTATATAATCTCTTTCATTTATTATCTATATTGTATCCTGTTATTTCCCTCATAGCATTTATCACAATGTGTAAATAATATGTTTGTATGTTTACTTCTTTATTGTCTAGTAAAATGTAAGTTCCTTGAGGGCAAGGATCATGATGGTCTTGTTTGATGCTGTCTCCATAATTATTAGTATAATGCTTGGCACATATAGCAGCTCATTAATCTACATTTCATGTAAGATTGCATGAAAGGCAACACTGGTCAATTTAAATGATGAAATTTTAGAACAATAGAGAGCATCTCTTTTCAGTCTTGTTATTTACAGAAGAGTAAGCCAAGGCATAAAAAGGGTGAGTGTCTTTAGGCAGTTAGTAGAGAACCAGGTCTAAAATCCAAGTTTCATAGTACACAAACAGAAATTTTTTGCCATTAAAAGATTTGCTTGTTTTATTTTTATGTTGCATTTTCTCATCGTTTGGGAGGAAGGCACTTTATTTTTCCCTCTACAAAGAACTGTATACTTAAAAATAAATGATATTTTTGGGGACAGGGCTGAAGATGTAAGATTCTGATTCAGCTGAAATTTGCAAAGCACTTACTTTATGTCAAAAACATTCACATATGATTTCTTATTTTAATCCTTACAATAAAGTGTAGAGCTAGGTATTGTTATTTCCATTTAACAGCTTGGAAATTGAAGCCCAGAGAACTGGCTTGCCTGAGGTCATACAGGTAAGAGTGGTAGGGACAAGATTGAAAAGCAGAGTTTCTCACTCTCTAACCCCTCTTCAATCACAGACGTGCTGTATTTTCGTTGTTTGTTTTTAATTGAGGCAAGGGATGTTGTTTGTAGGTGTCATTGAGTCAATTTTTAACTTGTAGCAACCCCATGTGACAGAGCAGAACTACCACATAGGGTTTTCTAGACTGTCCTCTTTACAGGAGTAGATCACAGCCACTGACTGTGTTTGAATAGCCAGCCTTTTGATTAGCACCCAAGCATTGTGCCACTAGGGCTCCTAGAGGCAAGGGAGGTAGGGTGAAGTTATTTCCTTTGCTTATTTTGGTCTTAAATTTAAAGTTATAAGATTTATTATGTAATAGCGATCTTAAGATCTGATTAGCCCTTCAAATAGCTATCACATGCTCTATGCCAAAGTCATTCTGTTCTTTTCTCTCTTTAATACCTAGCAGATGCTTAAAGAACGTTGAATGTTACAGAAATGTAGTTGCACCAGGACAGAGACTTTTATTATTTCTATAAGAGATGGTGAACTAATATACTTGAACCAATAAGCATGCCTAGTTTACCTTAGTATTTCAAGGTGTGGTTGTCCTTATAAAGTAATTATTTTGTCAATCATTTTTATCTGAATGTTTCTGTACTTTGGGAAAACGTGTTTTCTGTGTGCCCTTTCCTAGGTTTTCTTTAAGTTGAATTATTTCTACATAATTAGAAAGTATAAAAATTATGACTGAAATATAAATGGAGATTGATTTTTTTCAAAAACAAAACAAAACTTGAAATTATCTCCCAAGTAAGTATTTTAGTAAGTAAAATATATTCAGAAACACAAAATCTCTTAGGAAAGATTCTTATCCCTAAATGGATTTTTATAATATATTGAATGATTCATTTCAATTCAGAAAATTTAGTTTAATTTTTAAGTTTTGTTTCATTAATTTTTCCTAAAATAAATAATTGTAACTTTTTTGTTGTTGTTGTTTATTCTCAGCTGTCAAATAAAGGAAAATGCAGTAGAACGATTCATGGTTCAATTAAAGAAACTTAGGGAAAAGAACCAAAAGTATCATGAAAGAGTGAGTATAAAATTTAGTGCGTGTATCTAGCCACTAAACATTCACATACATGCTTTAAAAAAGTGTGAATTGTAACAAAATGTACTCTAGGAAATTATCTTCTTCAGTGCTTGGAATTAATTTATAATTCATTTAAGTCTCCTTGTACATGTGATGCAAAAAGGTACTACTGTTCGCATTATATTAATTATAATGTCAAAGGAAGCTTGAATTATGTAATAAGATCATGAGGACACTGAATTTTACGTTCAAAATTCTAAAGCTTTGAAACCATATTTATCTTTTGACTTCATATTTCACCAAACTGTAAAACAATGTTTATCTTTAACCTCTGTATCTTTTTGCTTTTAGATTTTCAAATAGTTTACATATATAAATACCATTAGAGACATACAATACCAGTTGTTAAAATGACTAATGGGATATTTAACACGATATATTGTTTTTGTAAAATTAGATTAAAATGAATATCAAAAATAACTATCAGGACTAAATACTAACAAGAATATATTTTGGCAGCGGCTAATCATAATTAACTTATCTCTTAAGGCATCTCATGAATGAGGAAATACTGAGAGTGCCCCTGTTAACACACTTATTTTATAGGTACCCTGAAACTTCCACAGTTAATTGTTTTATTTGGCTTTTCTCTTAAAAAGACTCTATCTACAAATTTTAATGGAATTGGGATCAGAGACCTGAGTTTGCATTCTGGCTTTAGAACTTATTGTGGATGTCATTTTGGGTAAAACTGCTTTGTGCCTTAATTTCCTTCTTGTAAAATGGGGATTCCTGTTTACCCCAGAGGGCTGCTTTGCTCATTCATTCAGCAAATACTCATTGGACAAGACAATTTAGACACTGTCACAACTCTCGAGGATCAACCACTTGGAATAGGGACTAAAACAGGAACTCAGATCTATGGATTAGAGTGGAAAGGGAAAGTTTGGCCTTGGTGCTTGGGTGCAGGTTCCACGTGATAAGATGCAGAGCATGTAAGAGGAGTGACCTGCTATTAAGGGACCAGTGCACATCCCCAGTGGTCAACACTGGGATTCCTAGGTCAAGATGTGGTTGTGGCAAGTACAACAGATCAGGATCGAGGAATCACTATCCCCATTAGCCATCATTTGGAGCTAGAAACAGTTAAATTTCTTGTTTCCATGAGGATTAGCTCAAAAATGGGACAGACCTAAGTCTGCTCTTGGGAACATTAGTGGGCCCAACAATGAGGAGCATGGAAAGGCAGATTCTAACTCCAACTATATGTATCTGGACATCATACATTTCTTTCCATTTATACTGCTATCACCCCAGTTTAAGCCACTATCGTCTCTTATCCATCTCTCTCCATTTTCCACAGTGCAACCAGAATTATCCTTTGAATGCTATAAATCCTTCAGTGGCTTACTATTGCACAGAAAATAAAATACATAGTCCTTACTAAGGCCTTCAAGGCCATGCGAAGTCTAGCCCCTGCTCCCCTCTCCAACCTTTTTCTAGCTGTTCCACCCTTTGCTTACCGCTGCTTCTTTCAAATCTTGGAAAACTCTCTTTCTCATTACTGTAACTTTACCCACGCAGTTTCCTCTCCCTGGAATGCTCTTCTCTTGGCTAGTTCCTTTTCATTCCCCCAATCTAAGCTGAAATGTTGTGCAAAAATATATCTCCGTCTCTAAATGAAAGCTCTATTAGACAGCAGCCCGAATGGGCCTATAATGAGCAGGCGTTCAACAAATATTTGTTGAGTTGACTCACATTAACACCAGTGGAAGGAAGAAAGTTTGAGGTCACAGATATTTAAATCACTAAATTAAACATGACTCATTAGCAACATATATTTTTTCTCTTAAGTTATGTCAACATCAGAAATGCCTCTCTTCCTAGCCATCATCTCTTCCTATGTGTATTTAATCTTGTGTGGCTTATCACCTTATTTATTATCTTTATTTCTACCTGTTTGTGTTCATTGCACCATTCATGACATTACACAGTCTATAGTTCACTGTGTCCACTTCCTCACCTTCCAATTCATTCTTCTGCTCCTACTGTTTCACCACAACAGCTCTAGCAAAATCTATTAGGGACATATTAGCCAGGTCCAAGGAATTCTTTTTAGTCCTCACTTTACTCCCCATCCCACCAGCAGTCAATTATATAGTCACTCCTTTCATCTTGAAACTCTCTTCTCCTTTGGGTTCCAGAATATTACTCTCCCTTAATTTTCCTCCTACTTTCACCATTTCTTCTTGCTTTTCATTCTTGGAAATTTTCCTGGCCACTCCTTAATTATGGTATTGACCACAGTTCTGATCTCAACCCTTTTCTTTCACTTTGAACTCTCTCTGGGATGATCTCACTTACCACCATGGCTTCAACTACCATATTTATATGGTGATAATTCTTGTGTGTGATAAAATTTCATAATACTGTTGTTGTTGTGTGCCTTTGAGTCAATTCTGACCCATAGTGACCCTATAGGACAGAGTAGAACTGCCCTATACTGTTTCTAAGGCTGTAAATCTTTATGAGAGCAGATCTCCGGGTCTTTTCTCCATTGGTGGGTTTGAACTGCCGACCTTTTGGTTAGTAGCTGAGTGCTTAACCATTGTGCAACCAGGACTCCTTATTCATAATACTATACACGCATACACACACATACACACAAAAGAGGTCATATAAAGACTGGTGAAATACCCTTGCCCCCTTGTTCTACCACATCTATTTTACCAATCTGCAGCTCTGAAAAACAGCTTTTCATGCTTCTGTGACTGGGCTCCCAAGCACAATTAAATGCATACACACAGTGACATTAAAAGTTTATAGCTTCCAACACAGTTGAATCTCAGCACTGTTAAGAAAGCCTTTTTGCTTGTCCCTGGTCAGCTGTCCTTTGTGATCACCATGGTGTTTGAGCTGAAACTTAACTATCCACCTCAGTCTCCCTAATGCTATTTCTGTTGAGCACACTCTCAACAGATGACTTAAACTTCCATTTGAGTGGGAAAATAAGCAGATTTAAACTCCTTCATCTCCCTTTCTCTTCACTCCTTAATTTATCTGTATCCTAATCCATAACTCCCTTGTCCTGTTGATAAGGAAGAGGGTTGGTCCTCTTTTTCTGAAGTCATACATGCCCCAGATTCCATCCTAAACTCTTCCCCTGGAATTTGCTGTGCATACAATCTTCCACCTATACTGTTCAAGATTCCCTGGGTGGTACAAATGGCTAATGTGTTCAGCTGCTGACTGGGGGTGTTAGTGGTTTGAACCCATGCAAGGGCTCTTAGGTAGAGAGACTTGGTGATCTACTTCTGAAAAATCACGGCCATTGAAAACCCTGTGGAGCACAGTTCTCCTCTGAAACACATGAGATCATCATGAGGGATCATCATGAGTCGGAATCAATTCGATGGCAACTGGTTTGGTTTGTTTAGTTTATACTGTCTTCAAATTGCTTTTCAGCATATACTCTTTCCACTGGACTTACTAATGTGCCCAAGTTTCCATCAGTCTGAAGAAGGCAAATGATACAAAATGTCCTATGATCTTACCTCCCCTCAGGGTATCACCATAACTCTCTTACTCCTTTTACTCATTCATTCAATCAACTTTTTTTTTTTTTAAGTTCTTAATGTGGACTAGGAACTGGGAATCAAAGATGAAAAAGATCTGCTTCACTATTTTAAAGAAAATAACAGTCTAAAAACCTAAGCCAGTGTAATGTAGCTTTTGCCAAATTTTTAATCTTCATTCTATTTAATTTCCCTGTGGCAAGTGACAAAGTTACTCTCTCCGATCTTGAACTTTCTCCTCCCTGGGCTTCCAATGCGCCCCTCTCTTCTCTTTTGAGTTTCTTCTCCCCAAGTGAGCCTTATTGGCTCCTTCTCCTCCCTTGCCTTTTTCTTTTTCTACACTTCCTTTGGGTGGCCTTGTCCCACTGCAAGGGCTTCAACCAACCATTTGCCAGAGACTGTCAAATCTCCCTCTCCAATGCTAGCCTCTCTTCTAGACTGTATTCTCAACTACCTACTGGATTTTTCCATTGGAATATATCATGTTGTTGTTAGGTGCCGTCGAGTCAATTTTTGATTCATGTCAGCCCAATGTGACAGAGCAGGACTGCCCAAGAGAGTTTTCTAGGCTGTGGTCTTTGTGGGAGCAGATTCAAAGTCCTTCTCCCGTGGAGCAACTGGGTGGGTTTGAACCACCAACCTTTTGTTGGTAGTCAGGCACTTAACCTTTGTTCCACTAGGATTCATGAGCACCTAAAATTCAATGTGTCTGTAAATCAAGACCCTTCACAGTTATAATACTTCTTAGACATAACCAAACACCTCATGGGATTGATTTCATGGGTTTGAAGGATAGGACCATAGTCAGGTAGGACATCTCAGTCATTTCGCATAATATAGTTCATAAAGTTTATGTTCTACATCCTAGTTTGGTGAGGAGTGCCCGGAGTCTTAAAAGAATGTGAGCAGCCATCTAAGATACTACTATTGATCTCTACTTATCTTGAGCAAAAGAGAAAGAAGGAAATCAAAGACTCAAAGAAGAAATTAGTCTACAGGACTAATAGTCTACACGAAACACTGCCTCATCTACCCTTAGATCAGAAGAACTAGATGGTGCCCAGCTACCACTACCAACCATTCTGATCAGGGCCACAATAAGTGGACCCTGATAGAATGGGAGAAAAATGTGGACCAGAACCTTAAATTCCTAAACAAAAAACAAAAAATCACAACAACAACAAAAAAACCGCTTACTAGACCTGTTCAGATTGGAGGACTCCCTGAGACTATTGCCCCAAGATACTCTTTGAACTTTGAACTGAATCTAGCCCCTGAGGTCACCTCATTTTTACTAAATAACAGATTAGCTCACAGAATAAAAAATATCACCCTTGAGTACTGTGCTCCTTTAAAAAATCATCTGTATGAGACCAAATGGTCAACAATTACTTTAAAACAAAAATGAGAATGTAAGGGAGCAGG